GTCCCCTGGACCCGAAGATCTGAACATGTTGCGCCCCATCCGAGTAGCGATGCATCTGTATACAGGGTCTTCATTGGATGAGGTGTTCGAAATGGGACACCGACAGACAGATTGCTCAGAATGGTCCACCAAGTTAGAGTGTCGAGTATCACAGACAGAATTTGGATCAGTTTGTTGGGAGAATCTCGCTGTGGGCGAAACGAAGTGTTGAAAAACAGCTGCATGGCCCGCATATGTAGTCTGGCATACGGGACAACGGCAACTGCAGCAGCCATGTGCCCCAATAGTCTCTGAATGGATATAGCTGGAACTGTTCTAAGCGTTTGGATTTGATGGATGTGGGCACATAAGGTAGCTCGACGGTCCGGAGGGAGGAAAGCTCTTTCCCGTATGGAGTTGAGACGTGCCCCAATAAAGTCGATGACCTGCGTGGGAATAAGGGATGATTTTTCGTGGTTAATACATAGTCCAAGATCATCGAGCAAGACGCAGGTCACGTGTATTGCAGACAGAAGACCTTATTTAGTTTGGGAAACAATTAGCCAGTCGTCTAAGTATGGGTATATTTGCACTCCTCATGTCCGTAAGTGTGCACATATTGGTGCCATAAACTTCATAAAAACTCGAGGTGCGGTGGCCAGGCCAAAGGGCAGCACAGCATATTCGAAAAGTCGAGCCCAACAGTAAAATGCAGGAAACATCTATGCGAAGGATGGGTAGCAATATGAAAATAGGCATCCTTCAAATTCAATGAGGCGAACCAATCCTCTCTCTTCAGTAACGGAAAAATATTCTGTAAAGTGGTCATCCGAAACTTTTTCGGTTTGATGTATTTGTTAAGATTTCGTAAGTCCAAAATCGGACGAAGACCACCGTCTCTTTTTGGGACCGTAAAGTATCTGGAGTAGAATTCGTGCAACCCCTCTGAGTGGGATAGTTGTCGAATCATGCCCTTGCAAAGCAACTGAGACTTCTTTGCACAGTACCGATGAAGAAAATGTAAATCGAATCGGACACGGTGGAGGGACGACATCGAATTCTATCCTATATCCGAACTGAATGATAGACAACACCCACCTATCAGATGTAACGGGCTCCCAAATGGGGAGTCGGCCCTGAAGCTGGTCCCCAAAAGGGAGAGGGGAAGGTGGTGTGGGAAGAGAGAGAATGGTTCGCCCGGACCGTCAACGAGGACGTTTATCGGTGTCGAAGCACCGCCGGCCCTGGGAGTAACGTTGCTGCGGCTGTTGTCTCCGCCGTTGCTGCCTTTGCTGGTAGTGCTGCTGAGGGTGGAATTGTGGACAGTAGGAGGAACGAGGCCATTGCCACTTACGCCTCTGTTGAGGAAGCTCCATGCGGCATGCGGTCATACACGATTCATGTATCGCTTTTAGCTTGCAGTTGGTTTTTTGATGAAACAATCCAGTACCGTCAAATGACATTTCCTCGATCCTCCGTTTCATCTCATCAGGGAAATTGCAATTGCGGAGCCATGCGTGTCGGTGCAGTGAGATGGCATTCACAAGAGCCCTCGAATTGGTGTCTACGTGATGTCGTGCAGTAGACAACTGTTGCACTGCTACCTGCATTACTTCTTTGATGAAGACCTTGGCAAGTTCGGCTTGGCGGTCTGGAAGGGAGGAAGCAACGTTATCCAGCTTCTGCGTAATAAAATACTGGTAACGTGCCAGTGTTGCTTCATAATTCAATATGTGCACACTGAGTCCAGAGGCCGCATAGACTCAGCGCGCGAGCATATTGATTTTCCTCCCTTCCTTGTCGCAAGGGGCTGTGTGTCCCCTGGACTCCCTGCCCTGGGAGGACTCGACGACGGAGTTCAGTCGCGGATGGCAAATCAAGAATGGGATGTCATCCTCTCGAACTCTGTAAATGGCCTCATACCTATGGGAGGTGGCTTGTGGTTGGGCCAGTTGATCCCAGGGTTGGACCACAGCCTGCCGAAGTGTGGTAATTAGCGGCAGGACTATGGCCACAGACTGTTCTCCCCTCACGACATCATAGAACCGATCCGTGGATGGGCCAGGCTGTTGACTCGCTTCAATTTCGAGGGAACGGACGAGGCGGGACATGAGCTCCGTAAAAGAGACATGTGGCTCATCGGGCGAAGCAGGTCCTTGGAAGGCGACTACTACATCTGGGGATGCAGAGTCAACCTCAGATTCGTCCGAATCTGGATAATAAGGAGGACGGTCGCTCAAAGACGATGTTTCGGGGGAGGTTGGACATCCCCTCTCCACATGCCTGGACGTCGAAGGCGAATCTCTCGGGACCGATGGAGACGCACGATCCCAAGGGAAATATGGATAGGATTGATAACCACCCCAGTCTGGGAAGGCACCATATCCATGCATCCTCCAATCGTCATCCCAGTGTTCCGACGAGCAGCTGCGGCGCCTAGGTGGCGACGGTGACTCCGCAGGTGGCTCAGTTGTGGGCATTTGAGTCGGAGATCGTTCCCTCGGTGGGGAGTCTCTAATCTCACCATCAGAGATGGACTCCCGAAGTGGCTCCTCCACTTGTTGGAGCGGCATGCTCTCAGGCCAAATGATAAGCCTAGGGGATCCCGGCGGTGTCACCTGCATAGTGAGTTGCAGGGCCGGTCCCGAAGGGGTCGGTACCGTGGCAGCAGACAGTACCAAGAAGCCCAACGAACCCAAGCCCTGGTGTTTGGGGCGATCGGGTTTCTTGGTTTTGCGAGCAGGTTTATCTGCCTTCTCCTTCCTTGGAACTTTACGAGCAGAAGGCTTATCTGAACCCATGTACTTGCGCTTCTCCTGTTTCTTGGCTGGGGAAGAAGGCGGCACCTGGGTCTCCGCTGGAGTAGCGCCTTCAGCCGAAGGGCGCTTCGGAGGAGCGGTGAAAGTGGGGCGCTTCGGAGAAGCTCTCACAGTTGAGACAGAGCACGGAGGAGGTGTGGCTGAAGAGGAACCAGGCTGTAAGAGCAGTTGATCAGATTGCATCAAGGCTTGGTCCCAGAGGAGCTTCCAGAGACAGTTCTCCCTGTTCTTCCGCGCTTGCTTGGTAAATGCCAAGCAATGGCCACACTTGTCAGTTCTATGCCCCTCGCCAAGGCAGAGAAGGCATAGATCATGCGGATCCATAGGCGACATTTTGGATCTGCATTCCGTGCATTTGCGGAAGGCTGCTCGCTGCGCCATCGCGGAAAAAGAAAAGATGATAGAATAGAGGGTAAGATAATATTTTTGGTTTTTTTGTTTTTTTAGAATAGAAGAAAGAGAGAGGGATATACAAACTTAGAATATAAGAGTTTAAAGAAGGGATAAAGGCAAAAAACGGACAGTAAGGACTCAAAGATCTTAATGAGGGACATTAACAGGCACGAGGCACAGTGAACAGCGGTCGCGAAGACTGAACAAAATGGCGGACACTCCGCTCTATTTATACCACGAAGGGAGAGGGGAGTGGAGTTTTCCCGCCAAAAACCATTAGCTTTTTAATCTTCCCGCCTAAGCACTGCGCAGGCGCAGCACCCATATGTGTGATGCACAGAGGCCATGACAAAGAACAGAGGAATGGACACTCTCTCCACTAGCATACAACCCTTTCCCAACCACCCACCACTCAATTTCCCAAGCAACTGTCTTATTTGGTAAATGTGCCAGATTTAGTTTCAGGCAGCTCACTTTGAGTAGAAACACTTTTCAGAAAAACTGGAGAGCCACTGCCAGCAAACAACGACAATACTGAGCTAAACAGACTAGTAGTCTTACTCAGTGTGAAGGCAACTTCATATTTTGCTTGTAGAAGACAGGGTAGGATGCAGATATATTAAGAGAAGATACTCCTTTTTTGTATCACTCGCCTTCTCACAGAGCAGACCACAGAGGGATCTCTGCTGTCAGCAGTTCAGAAAATGTGGGTATATGTGCATAAGATGCTTGATCTGTCCCTTATACTTTAAAGTGTCTTTTGGTTAATATTATTGCTGACTAGGAAGGGATGGGGAAGAATTTCATTTGGTCGATGTGTTTAGGATAACTGACCTAACTTGCACTTCCTGGACTAATATGCAGGAAGAATGCAGTTATCTTTCTGACTGTGTACTTCCTTAATTTTACCATGCAGCTCTTGACTCAGAAAATGTATACCAAACAAAAATTGGATTTTAAGAAAAACTGCATACTAAATAAACATGAAATTTTATGAGTTTTTTAAAACAAAAATGCAGACTGATGCAGAAACAGGATGATTTGTATATGGCTGAACATACAAGAAAGTGATATGCATCAAAAACACATTAATTCATTCCTCCCTATGATTAAGTGACCAAGAGTACAGAAAAGATTCTCTTGGATGCATTTCAAAATGTGAAGAATATTTCAGAGAAATTAAACACGAGTGTCTTAGATCTTGATTATTATGGATGCTATACAATACCTGATTGCAATGCTTGCTCTGAAACTATGAATGCGTTAAGGGAAAAAAGAAAACAAATTAGTTGACCAGTTACATTTGTTACCACGCTGCACTGTAAGCACCCAGGATTTAAATATTTTTAATGCCTGAACTTGCTACAAAATCACTACTTCCTCTCTTAAATGTTTGAAAAGTACACAGCAATTGCGCATTTTAGTTCATTACAGATCATGTAATATTGCCTATTTGCATAATGGCACTGTTATGTCACAAGCCCTAAAAGAATTGCTACGTAAGTTAACTCAGCTTTGCAATTACCACTCAGTTCCCAGACCTAAATGTTCATTGAAAGGTCTGAGATAAGAGGCATTTAAATGCATAGAACTTACAAGTTTTTGTTTCAAGACATTGATTCAGTTCATATAGTAATACCTAGGTATGATAAATACCTTTCACTTTAGCACATGGTACTCCAGCAGAAGCTGTAAAACACTCCTCCTGTGAACAGAATACACCTTCTGGATGCAGCAGGTCAGCTTTGGATCCAATCAGATTTTATTAGTACTTGATGATATATAATTCAAGAACATAAAAACACATACCACGTAAACTGCCGGTGGTTAAGAGAGCCCGTGCTTTGTCTGCCAAATCACTATTTAGGGTATTTCCCAACAACAAAACATCAATAGCTTCCTGCTTTGAGCTATCAAAAAAGTTATTTTGAATTGTTCTGGTCACAGAACGTGCACCATCCTTCAGCTTCCCAGCCTGTTAGGGAGCAATATGTACAAAGTTTATATAATTAATTTACAGAACACTGGCAATGCAATATATGCTGTTATAGATCAAGTTCCAACCTACTAACAGTGAGCTAGTTTTTGTGAAGTGATTAGTTTATTTAGCTTTTATTTTCTCTTAATACTATGGAGGCAGTGGGTTAAGATAAGAAACACATCTCAAAAATAATTTTTAAAAATGACTGGTAACACTGTATCTGTGCATAAATCATGCAATACTTTTACTCAAAATAGCGAGACAATAAGAAGCACTTCATGTCAGCAGAATATGCATATATTACATATGAGCCCAGTTTAGAATTACATGGTTTTAAAAATATGCTAATTCCTTTTTAATATAATGCGTTAAAATGGAGAGGAAGAAGCTCATGTAAGTTGCCTTGAATTTTTGTGTAGCATTTTCAGAAGTAAAGATACAGAATATATATACAGTAAAAAAATGGGTGGTATCCCAACTTTCACTCAATAGAATTCTGCTCTCTCTGAGGGAAGAGGGCAAGGCACTGACCTTTATAAATTTCCCCTCAGACCCTCTGCCCATTGAGAAGCTACTATGGAGAGTTGGGGGAGCCTCTAGAACAGTGACATGAGAGTGTTAGGACTGTAAAAATCCGCAGCCCACTCCCTTCATCTAGCAGAAAGACTGTACTGGATTCCTGTTCCCTTTGAAAATGGAAAAAGCCCTTCTCTTTATGGAGGGCCAAGTCTGGATCCAACTCATTGTCTTGAATGGAATATTCAATTCTTGTATAAATATAAAACGGCATAAAGCTGTGCGGTTACTAACAACCAAAGTAGAACACTGATTATCCTTTGTTGATCAGATTACTCAACCATATTGGCCAAATAGAATGCAGTACTGATATATTATCATGCACAGAAACAAACAAGATTCTACATGCATTTTAGCTATGCTTACGGCCACATCTATAATGTATTTTATAGATATACAGGTATGCAGCTAACTCATGCATATACTTTCATGAACGTTCAGAAACAGCAAACCAAAGAAACTGGTACCATGGTTTCAAATTGCAAAGGAGATTCAGTAGCATGCAGTATTTTGTTTACAGGGTATAGCAACAACCACTCTCATTTTCAACTAGTTACTAGATCTCATGGCTGAGGGTTGCTCCCAGTGGTGTTACTCCACCAGTGGAAGGGAGAATGTTTGCAGACTGGATTTCCTTTTCCCAACTGTAACCCCATGCACTTCCCCCACCCGCAATCTGCAAACATTCTCCCATAAGATTTGAAGGAATACACAAGAGCTGGAGGGAGAGGAGAAGAGGTCAAAGAATTTCCATTGCATGAGTTCCTGGCAATATTGGCTCCAAGCCTGGATGTTTACTCTGTAAATGCAAAATAACTACCAGAAGCTTGGTGTGTATTAGATTATTAAAAGTGACAGGTAATTTAAGGCAAGTATAGACTATCAACACTCATATTAATTGTAACCATTCAGACTCTGAAATTTTCAATGGAAAGCACAACATTTGCCCATGTCCTAACTTCTGTCAACATATTCCTCTTCATGTCTATTTGTTGCAACTTTAATTTCTTTTCAGTGCTTCTTTTTTACTATAGGTTTATATATTCTAGCTCATAGAATTGATTTTTCAGAAAAGGTGGAATGCAGAATATACTTTTTTCTAAATTTAAAATTTTCCATTTTCCATTCATTTAACTCAATTTGAACGTTTTGAAGATGCAAGTAATGACACTGTCAATGATGCAACATGGAAACATTACTGTTTAAGAAATCTATAATATATTTCAATAACTGCACTTTGTATAGTAGTGCACTTTTCCTTCTAGTGGCCGGAAGCCCAAGAATCATGCGACTAGTTGTGTATACCCTAGGGAGCTTTAAACCGTTGGTTCCCAAATAGTAGTTCTCCACACCACACGTCAAAGTTCTTTTGACACTAAAAGAAATCTCAATAGCAATTTGTGATATGGCACAGGGTATGTTCAAAATCATATAACCTCTGGGATCTGTGAAGTCTTTGAGCATACCTATTTTTTTTTCAACTTCCAGTCAATTTTTTTTAAAAAAATGATAAAAGTAATCTCAATTTGATTCATAAAAGTACGATTCCATTAGATTCAGTAAACAGATAATTCAAATCAAGCTTTAACATTTTTCCATCAAAAATATGGGTAGGAATATTTAATGTTGTGTATATATTCAACATTTGACAGTATTCAAAAATTACACTCACCAGTTACATATCAGGCAAGTAATTGAAATAAACAGAAGAAAGCAAAAGAATAGTTAGTTAAGATGCTAAATAGTAACATATCATTTCCAGAAAATATCAAAAATTCATTATTTGAATGCACATTATTCAAAATTATTCAAATAAATATTCAAATAATAATAATAATTCAATATTATTATTAAAATAATATTCAAAATAATTTGAATAATCTTATTCATATGGTTTAAGGCATGGGTCCTCAAACTACGGCCCATGGGACGGATCTGGCCCACCATGGCCATCCATCCAGCCTGCGCCACCATTCGCCGCCCGCACTTGCTGCGCGGGTGGGGTGGTGGTGGTGGCTTGCTCACTTGGAGATGGTCTCCGAGCGAGCAAGCCCCCACCGCCTGCCTCCCGTATGCACACGGGGGAGGGGAGGTGGTGGCTCACTAGATCAGAGATGGTCTCCAAGCGAGCAAGCGACCGCCGTGCATGCCCAATGCCGCCTCGCGCGTGCCCAACAGCACCTCACTGGCCTGCGCATGTAGCCATGGCCTTTCAATTGGCCCCCTATAGAAAAAGTTTGAGGACCCCTGCTTTAAGGAGTCACAAGTCTTATCAGGCAAAAATGCACTAACAATACTGCAAACCTGCATTTTTTCCCTTCCCATTTAACACCTATGCCCTGAAAAAACAACGTTCTTCAAGGACATAGGCAAAAATATACAGAAAGCCACAGCTAGCAGTAGTATATCTAATTCTGTTCTTTGATGTCACACACACATTCTACCCAAATAAAAGGAATTAGTATTTAGCTTGTTTCATTATTTGTAACTATACAGCACCCCTTAAAGCTGCTTCGATAGCCATATGCAAGTAGAAGGATTTCTGACCATTTGACAAAACTGAAACAGAGCTCTAAATAAATACCTCAGAACTGTGGAACACAGTTTTACAGGATATGGGAAACAAAACAAATGAGTACTTTTACAAATAACAATTAAAAAAAATAATATAAAGCTTGGTTAAACTGGTAATGTTAAATGAAGGACTGTGGAGAAAGAAGTAAAAGTAGTTAAGTAGACACAGACTAATGCAAGACCAGTAAATAAAGAGTGAGCCACATTCATCCTTCAGTAGGTAAAAAACCAACCAGAAACATAAGAACCCAGGCAGTTAAGATACTGGTACAAATAAATGTACACAGGAACATGATGCAGCCCTTGACAATTATAAACACTCAAATTTTACAATTCACATTATTATTTACCTTTGCTTTTCCTTCAAGAGCTCCAGTTCCAGCATATATTTTACTGACTGAATCACCATTAACAGACCACATAGACCGAAACACTTCCTGGAACCGAGTAACCAACTGAGGTTTCTCAGCTAAACCTAAAACTTCCAGTTGTTTTGTTAGCATCTGCAACGGTGAAAGGAACAAACAAATTTATACATAAAACAATATAAAGGCATTTTATTTAGGAAAGCTTTTTCATTTTCTTAGTAAACCGACATAATATGGCATGGTTTCCCTTTCTAGCTGGTTAAAAAGCAATATATTATACATTGTGAAATGAACTCATTCACCTAACAATAACTCAATCTTATTTAACCTATGGCTAACTGATGGTTTGTATTCCTATCCAAGGACTGACCTGGTTCACATGATACAATAGCCTGCTGTGGTTTAATTTAACACCTATACTGCTTTAGGAATTACTGATACTGCACCTGCACTGCAGAAATATTCCCTATGAAGAGCTCCAAAATTAGTTGTGAGTAGAGGGAAGGAAATGTAGCATTAATCGTAAGTATCTCTGGAAACTAAGCATTTCTTCTGACAATCAAATTCAAGATAAGACTTGAAAACAGAATAAATGAATGTGATTATAAGCTATTAATCATAGCAACATGAATAAAATGCTTCCACAGGATAAATATTAATTTTGTGTAAAGTTGAAATCATTTGCTAAATTACAGCTGGAACTCCATATCACATTAACTGTGCCAGCTTATATATTTATTCAGAAATCAATCCCACTGAGTAATATGAGGCTTACTCTCAGCTAAGGTTTGCAGTCCAAGAAAGGATGGTAAGTTGGATGCATTACAATACGTTTAGACTTTGCTCACTGCTTTAGGCTTAACAATCCCTCCCATTTCTAATCAGAACACAAACATAAATGGCATAGTCATGCTTCCTGGACAATTTGTGTCAGTATCTGCTAGTATGTGAAGAAACAGTATGCAAACTTGAAAAAAAGTTAATTTTCTTCCCAACAGAGTAACACTTTTTGTAAATGTCTGTAATACCACACATGTTTTGAAAATAGAAACTTGATCTTATAACCACACAAAATATTAAAATGAGACTTCTGCTATTACATCATGATGCTGGAGAACAGTTAGGAAGGGGAGCATCTACAAGAGGAGTAGGCTTCTTGCAGCTCTACAAAGGTTTTAGCCTACAATTTTCACTACCCTATCATTATGTTGGCTATGGCCGACAGATGTTTTAAGCCAAAACACCTGAAAGTTCCTGATGTAGGAAACTTGGGAAATAAAGGTATAGGAATTCCTACAAAAGAATATGGGTTGTTATCATGATTAATCCCCTTAAGTTTTAATAAACCAGTTAAACATTTCAGATATTCAACATTTCAAGAAATACCAAAATCAACATCCCCTTTGCTCCCCAAAAATATATCAAAGGTAATGACATTATATTTCTACCTCTAAGCCAATGAAAGCCTGCACACTGTTTGTTCTATCCAGGCAGTCCAAGCAGTTTGTTCTTACAGTACCACTCTGAGATCTGTGCCAAATATAATGGAAAGAGGAAAACTGAAAGCTCTGCATACAACAAGGCTTAAAAACATATTTTTCAGTCACAGTAAAAAATTCTATTTTAATCAAAAATTCTATTGTTGCCCACACAAAAATCTATGAAAGTGATAGAATAGGATGATATTTTAATGTTATCACTCATTTTCCAGAACCAGGAAAAGATTCTGTGACACCACATCAGTTATTTTTGGAAACATGTACTCAATTTCAACTCTGCTGCAGCTTTCAAGGGTAAACTAAGTGAGAAGTAATTTTAGTCAAAGTAGAAAATGTCCATTTAAATTCAATTTAGAGGCAAAAAAGGCAACCCACAATGGGATCTGTCTCGAGTTCAGATGACACCATAACCCATTGTTCAACAATCCCTACAACAAGGCTTATGTTCTCAACAGTCTGGGTTTGGACAACATGGCAATTCACTACAGCTTGTTACCCACAAGCGGTTGCCATGGTGCATGGAAAAAGGCAAATAAAGGGAGACATGATAGAGGTTTTTTTAAATTATGCATGAAGTGGAAAAAGTGGAGAAGGCAAAAAATATCTCCCTCTCTTGTAATACTAGAAGCTGGAGTAATCCTCTGAAGCTTACCAGCGGAAGATTCAGGACAGATAAAAGGAAGAAAACATAGTTTATTTACTTCGCACAGTAAATAAACTATGGAATTCACTGCCACAGGAAGTGATGGCTACTAATTCACAGTGATAGCCACCAATTTGAAGGGCTTTAAATGAAACTGGACAAATTCATGGAGGAGAAGGCTATCAATGGCAATTAGCTGTGTTGGCTATGTGCTATCTCTGTTATTAGAGGCAGTCTGCTTGGTGGGGTGAGGCTTCTATCTGCCCTGCTTAAGTGATCCTGTGAAAGGTCAGTTTGCCACTATGTGAGTGGAGTGCTGGACTGGATAAACCATTGGTCTGATTCAGTATGGCTTTTCTTATCCTTTTACATTGAGATTGAAAGCAGGCTGCTAGCACCCTTCTCTCCATGGGGAAAATAAGAAAAAGAAGCTGGCAAGGGAAATGTGGCAGAATTCCAGGTCTCTGTTGTCACAGGAAGCATGTGAATCCATCTAATCCATCACACAACGTCCAACAAGGTTGAAGAGGTTGCTCCACCTCCCCCCACAACCCCTGGGAAACAGACAGGGAGAAAGAAGACAGCCTATCACAACATGCAACCAAATGTAGTGTTGTTGAATGTAAAACCTTCTCAAATCAGCCCAGCCCAGTCTATCTGAAGCTGACATGCAGGACTGGTTGAAGTGAGAGAAAAAGAACCTCACTATGAATATAAAGTGCAGTGGGAGGAAAGAGAATATAAAAAATCCAGTCAGACCACTGCAGGCTTCAGACTGGCAGACTGACAAAGTGTAGGACTTGATAGACCAGGGCAGATAGAATGCATAAACAGCACAAGCTTTCACACAGAAGACAGTCCTATTTTAAACAGGAGTTTACTGTGGAAGTGGAATACAGGGCTAATTACTCTTTCTTTACAGAACTCTATTTTAAATAGGACATTATTCTGAAACCGAGTAGGCTATCTCTTTACTTCTTTCGAAGAGGGAAATGTGAATGCTTTTGCAAGGCTGTCTCACCTGCTGCTTAGAGGCAAGTTTCCTTTGCCCTAGGCAAGTAGTTACAAGCAAGTCTCCAATAAAACATTGGTTTGTCATTATAATCTCACTAAACTAAGTCAAATAAAAACTGGCTTCATTGTGGTTACCTAGTTGGTAAATAACATGAACATACGACTTAATTGGTTCATTCTTCTGTACACATTCCATATTAATACAGTTAAGAAATCCAATGCCAAGTGCTCAAATATGGGTGGATATTGAAGATAAAAACATATGGCAGATAAACAAATTTCAAAAATAGTTGTTTCATGTTACAAGCAAATGGAAAATACTCAGAGAACACTCAAGGAAAATGTTTCTGGGAGATAACTGATTTTGAGCTCTCTTCAATGGACTGAATATTTGAAAGAAATATAACATTATTCTGATTTAATAGTCAATATCATTTGTTAAGCCTGAACTGGAATCATTTGCCTTTTGCAAAGTTAAAACTTTATGAAAATCTACAAGATCATGACTAAAATACAGGGTAGATATAATTCTGATCTTTTAACCAAAGTAAAGATACTAGGAGTGGTCCTGTGCATTTCTTCCTCTTTCTCTCTGATGTGAATAGCCTTCTCTTTTTCCTCCTTGACTTTAAACTGAATAATCATTACTGCACTGAAATTAGTCACACCTAACATAGCACAATCCATCTTAACCAGAACTTAGAAGTCTAATTCAAACCTTTGATGCAGATGGCACACCAACTGTGGTTAAAGCAAACAAGTGAATGAGAAAGGAATATGGATTGGGAGGGTTATGTAGCATGTTTGTATTTCACTCATTTTGCTTTTGACTGATTAGACATGTTACACTGTTGTTTTTTAAGCAGACTACCTTTTCAGGTCTTTTTGCTAAACCTAAAAAGGCTAAACCAGAAGCATGTTCTTTTTCTGCAAAATGACAAAAATGAAGTAGCCAAACCTTTGAATTTCCTTTCCATCAAAGTAAAAGAATCCACATTCTAAGAATTTTTGGATCTGTGGTTTAAGAATGCTGTGTAGCTTTTCTGCCTTTCCACCTTTGACCATTTGATGATAGTCAAAATTCACCATTTTGATGTCATCAGCATGTTCAGATGCTTTCAAATGGCTCTGATGAGATCGGTGGAAGGAATGAGAAACAAAGAGGCATTAGCAAGAAACAAGTAAATGTATTGGAATATGACTTTGGTTGTTCAAAAAGTATGGTAACTACTAATGAATGTCTTTGCTATTACTTTAATATTTGTATTTATAATGTCCAAACAAAGTGTTATGTTTGCAGTCCTTAACTTCTTAGTCCACAAATGCACATTTCTTCATTACACCTTTGCTGGGGGATCTTGTCAAATACTTTCTGAAAGTCGAAGAATTCATTCAGTCTTAATAGGATTATATATATACTACGACTACCCTCATGATTCCACATTTATGAAGTTTGATTTTCTTCTACAAATCTATATTGATTCAATAACACTGTATTTTATGTTTTATTTGTTTTTAATAATTTTACTTACTTAATATTTTAAGTTTACTGACTTTCAATTTCCAGAACTGTCCATCGCACTTCTCACTTTTCACTAAGGACCGATTTGTATGCTAAAGTCATATTTGCATTTTTTGCAGCTCTCCAGTTGTTATAAGGCCTTGATTGAAACATCTTTGCACAATCCCTGCCTCTAGGGTTCAGACTGCATGAAAAGCTATGGACTGAATACTCATAACGGCCACCTTCTCATGCTAACACTTCCTGCAGCCCACTATGGCTTATTTGGTCATGTGAACCAATGCACTGTGCTCATTTCTAACTAGTGGTTTAGTGTGACATACAAACACAACCACGGGTTTCTTCCACAGGTCACACTTCTGCCTTATATGTGAAGTAATACTTATCAAACAAACCTTTACATAACCATTCCACTGCTGTTTTAAAATTAGCTACTGACATGTAGCAGTGCCTATTTTGTTCTCATTAACTTTTAATGTTAGTACAACAGCAAATTCAATTAAGTTGTAACATTTACAATATTCTTACCTGAAAGACTTTGCTAAGCATATGCTCCCCTTCTTTTGAGCCAAGAAGATTCACAATTATTTGCTTGCCATATATATTTTTAAGAGTCTGAAAATGTCTGCAACATGAAAAAATATTCTTGAGGCTAATAAATGACTAGTATCTTTAAACATCTGAGTAGGACATGCACATTCTCTTTTAGCATTTATATTGTAAACTAGCAGCTAAATGGTTACATGTAGTTACAAAAAAAGGTTAAGTGAGAAAACATGAAACAAGTACAAAAAATGTTGACATGTAAGCTGGAGACAACTTACATGTGACATAAAATTCACTTCTGGCCATAATGACATGACTGAACCTCTTCAGAATCTGATTAAGCCTTCCATGTTAAAAATGTTATCTTAGCTTATCAATGCAAGTGCTAAACTAGATACCTGTACTACCCAATTCAACTTCAGCTAGACTACTCAGAAACTTAGGAACTTTGCAGAAATATACTGCTACAGTCCTCAAAATGAATAGCTTTTATTACAATAAAATGTTACCTGTCAAAGGCTGGTGCATTTGCTTCAAACCCTCTTGACATTCTAACACGATGAGATCCAACCTGAGAGAGAGAGAGAGAGAGAGAGAGAGAGAGAGAGAGAGAGAGGGAGGGAGGGAGGGAGGGAGGGAGGGAGGGAGAGAGAGAGTTAAGTGTTTCTTTGGCGGTTTCCCTTATGGGCCTCCAACATTTTAGATTTTATCATGTTTAATTTATAAAGCCCTCAAATTAGTACAGTGTACTATAATATTTAAATAGGCAATTCCTGCCCTCAGGCTCATGTTTTAAAATTGGATGATAATAGGGTGAATAAGGTATCTAAGAGGAGAGGAATAGTTTAATATTTCACTAATTCTCTTCATGTTCTATTCTCTTTTGCATGTGTGATTCACACTAAAAGCACATGGCTTCCCCTATGATTGTGCTTTTTAGTTACCTTAGTTAGAAATATACAGATCAGGTTAGAATCTGGCTCTCTTACATTTGCAGGATTTCTTTCCCACACTCAGCAAGCAAGCCAAGCTGACATCAAGTCTATCAAATACACAAAATATGTTACACAAGTTTTGTACAAAGTACACAAAACCTGCAAGTCCCATTGGCATAAGCAGAATTTTGCTTGAACATGCTTCCTGCCAGATGCCCACACAAATGCTTGACATGAGACAGACTTAGGGGAGAGGAAAAGTAGGCCAGAGTCAGGGAAGCCAAGCTGAGGAAACCTGACAGATTCCCACCTCCAAACTGAATTCTCGACATAGCTCAGTCATCAATTCCCTTTAGCAGTTACATGTCTCATTATTACAAATTCTACAACACTAATCTAAGAATCTTAACATATAGTTGAAAATCACTTGAAACAAAAATATTGTAGCAAATTTATCTCCTAATTGACCTGACAGTTTCAATCAAAACAACAATGGGTTCTTAAGGTTCCTACACATTCTTCAAATACATACACAGTGGTAGCTTGGGTCACGAACTTAATCCGTTCCAGGACTCTGGTCATGACCCAAATTGGTTGTGAGCCAAGTTAAATTTCCCCATAATTGATTAAATAAGGTTAATCCATTCTGTAACTATTTTTTTTAAATCAGAAAAAAGTGAAGCAAAGTGAAAAGGAACAAGAAAGACTGCGGCCATCTTCCCCCACACCCTGAGCATGAGTGCGGCCATCTCCTTGCCTCCCACAATCACGCCTGTCATCCCTGCATGCGCGCGTCATCATGGTGCGCTGGGAGGGGGAGACGGGCGCGATCACGGGCACGTTCGGGGGGGAAGAGATGGGCGTGAACACAGGTGCACTTGGGGGGAGAGACGGGGTGAATGTGGGTGCGCTGAGGGGGGAGAGACGGGCACGAATGCAGGTGCGCTGGGGGGGAGAGACAGGCACAATCATGCTGGGAGAAAGATAGCCGAGATCGCTCATGCAGGAAAGACAGGCACAATCACGGGTGCGCTCATGCAGGAAAGACGGGTGCAATCTTGGTCATCTTCCCCCCCCCACCCCAGCACGATCGCGGCCATCTCCCCACTCGGGGTGGGGGGAGATGTCCGCGGTCGTGGTCGCCACCCAGTGTGGAGCTTGCCACCCAATGAGTCAAATTTTTTATTTAATTTTTGTTTGCAACCCGATTTGGTCGTAAACTGAGGTGTTTGTGAACCAGCCAAGGTACCACTGTACTGTAACATGTTCTCTTGAAATAACCGAGACTTGACTCTTGGACAAGAATATAGATGACTTCAACTATTTAGTGTGAGAAAAAGCAACAGAAAAGTTATAACTCTCATACTTGTAAACCAGGTTGCTCCCAAAATAAAGGAACAGATCCACGGATTTGTATAAAAGATGACACACATTCATCTAGGAATATCACCTGTTGGAGAAATAATATTATATTAGTTGTGTGCATAGCATCACCTTCAGACAACTACTTCCACAAATAACAGTGCAGAAGACTTCTAATACAGTTTCCAAGCAATGCTGCTGCATATTTAAAAATTATGCTCAAGCTTAAGTTGATGCAATAATATTAAAGCTAAAAAGGAAACAAAGAAGGTTTGTGTCAAAATTTAATGGTGTTTTCAATAAAAGGCACATCAGATTACATGTAACTACAAATTTGTGTATTTATACATTTAAAATAGGTCATAGCAGGAATATTGTATTTAAATAAATTACTGTTTACAGAAGCCTTCTCCAACCTGGCATTCTCCTGATGGGTTGGAGTACAAACCTGATCACCCCCAACCAGTGTGTGCCTGCTGCTCGGGAATGATGGCTGCTGTATCTGGAAGGTGCCTAGGTTGGAGAAGATTGGCTTACAGAATATGAGTTCTCATTAGATAAGTATTAGACACCTGGTACCTCACCAGTTATTAACTGCCAACAATTCAAAGAGGTTAATTCAAAATCACTTATTGATGTCTTTGTTGAGAATGGGATGGTTGACTGGATCTATACAACATGACATCCCAAACTCACCCTTGGGTACGACTGTTGTTCATATGTGGGTTGCTGTGCTGTATGAATCTAACTGATAGTTCACAATCCAACAACAAACCATGGGTTCTCTTTGTGGATTGTTAATGAAGATCCATGGTTTGTTATGTAGATTCATGCAACATAACACCTCACATTGCAGCAACAACTCATGGTTCTATGACAATCCATTCAACCATACTCAGCATCAGGGGTAGCTTGTCCTGCTGTGTGAACTTAGCCAATGGTCTGGTTTGCATGATCACTGCAGTCCACTAAAGTTTATTTATGCTACAAAACACTGCAGTAAGTGTCATGGCCTCTTTGTGGTTGTGACTGGTTAATCCTGGTAACAACTTACCCTGCTGGGTTCAGTTGTCGGAATAAACCACAAAAACTGCCTGCCAAGACCTGAATATCCAAACTGGCCACCAACATGCACTGCAAGCGATACTGGCCGTGGAGTGCTTCAGTGATCAACTCAAATGTGATTGTGGGGTTTCGGATATAAGATTGAAAGCAGGAGAAGGAGAATGATATACACCATTTTTGAGTTCTTTCACCTTTTCTTTTTAAAATAAGGTGTGATATAATTCTAATAAATTAAAACAGGTCATTATATCATATTAAAGGATAAGAGATTTCATTTCCTCTTTTTTCAACATGTGTAGATCAATAACTTCTTCAAAAGCAGCAGACTTTAAAACAGCAAAAAATTCTAATATATTGAGATCTTGTGCTGCATTTGAATGTTATCTGTGTTTCATTTGCAAGAGATGCTTGTCAGAGACACTCACTGAATCTCACATTTGCATCAAATGGGACTTTTTTAAAATCAGTATTACTAATAAAAAGTTGAACTTTATATGAAGAAAGGCCCCATTACTCTTTGGTGTTGCTACTAAATGAAACTTATGTTATTTCACTGGCACAATACACAAGCTAAAACTCAGAGCATATAAAGAACTACACAAGCAATTTGTTGGATACGATATAAAAACCACAAGTATGTCAAGCATGGGAAAAACTACATTTGTGGTTAGATATAAATAAAAATAAAATAAGTAAAGGATATAAATCACTTATTGTCCCTTTGATTCTATTCCCGAGTAAAGATAAGAAATTAACAGAAACATTTAAGATTTATTGGCAGTATGTTGTTACTGCATAGATAGCACATGAAAGTTACTTGAAGCAACCAACATTTCCTTCTATAGAAATATGGTAGAAAAATATGTGATAGAGAACACCTATGAGTAAATGGATGTATCGTAACAGAATAGACTTTATATGTTCACTGGGGAATTTCTCAGATACCAGAACTGAACAAATCCTTTTGAAAACATTAGCTATGAAGTGATATACTTTCTAATACTGTATTAGTTGGTTCATGTCTTTGTAATCCAGCCCCCCACCCATGTGGAATTATTTTTTCCCACTGGTGTAAGATCTGAACAGAATGATCTGAATAGAAAATTTTTACATTTGGTTGTACTTTCCTTGAGCAACCTGTGCTTGCTGCTTGATTTTGGGAATTTATATCCTCCACTAGCCCATCATGGGAGAATCTATAGTGTTCAGGAGGGCTCCCCAATGAGAGAATGTTTGGGGAGACAAGGGAAGGAAGAAAATCACATGGCCTTTTCCACAGCCAATTTTTTAATCCAACCCTATAAAATGCTACCTTTTTAATATCATTCATACAGAATGTTTCCACAGAAATGTATAAGTAGGCACCAAATAAGAGAACAAATCCAGTTTGATTTTGTTTCCAGACAAGAATGTTTCAAATGTTAACACTTTTAAAATTCAGATTTCAAAATATTTGATGCTGACCTACTCACATAGCTCAGGTAGAGAAAAAGGTGTACACAATTTCTTCTAGTACAATTGGCACAGAAAGTTTTTGATATATTGGAAAAATTAGGATATTGATTTTTTTTACAATGGAAAAGACATTTACAGGTGCCAGACGGGGATCTGAAATCCTTATATAAGAAGCAATTCCCATTTTTCACATCTGAGCATTAGAACTGCAGAACACAATTATGATAGAATAGGTGAAACATATCCACCACAAGAGTAGGTTTGGGAGCCACAATGTGCAGGAAAATTATATCCAAATCATGTAATGCATTTGCAAATGATAAATACTCCTAGCGCTAAATGAATTACATACCCCTCTCAAGATACACTAAAGTAATTAATACAAATAAGCAATGAAGCGCACTTATCATACCTGCTCCGTTTCAACAAAATTGGCCACATGCCCATCATCATTTGTTCCTCGAACATTAAACCTGGTCCCAGCTCGTTCACAGCTTAGTCGTGAAATAATGCAAGCTTTTGCTTGTTTGTGAGCAGCATAAATCGTCCTAATCTCTACGCCTCCACACATGAGACGCAACAACCAGTCATCACAGTTCACTCCATAATGTTTAAGATGCAAGTGCAAAGACTGGTTCCTATAAAAGAATTTAACGATAAAACAGACTTTGAGAGACTAGCAGGAATATGTCACGTGTAACTAAGCAAGTATGTTTGAAGAGAACACAATTTTAAAAACACTTCCAAAATGAATTTCAAATAAAAATGTTTAGCAAATTTAAGGGAAAATGTATAGGTACAGTACAGAAGTATTGCAGAAGTATTCAGTCTTCTCATTTGAGCTTTTCTACAACCAGGAACTGAACGGGATTTAATTAGCATTGTTACCATTGGATATAAACAAGAATTGCAACACTGTCAAGTACATAATACTTCTGTTGTGGCACATTAAATAAATAAAAATGAAGCTGGCATATGTTGGTTGCATAACCAATATGCATGCACACACACCCCTCTCTCATGGTAGAAGCACCTGTGTGAGTGATTACATTTGCAAATCTTGGGGAAACCTCACTCTACCAGCTTTGCACATCTGGATCCTGCAACGTTTGCTCTTTCTTCCTGCAAAACTGTTCCAGCTATGTCGGGTCAAATGGAAACCATCAGTGAACAGCGACTTCCGAGCCTTGACACAAATTCTGCATGGGATTGAGATCTAGGCCATTCTAAGACACTCAGGTTGTTGTTGTAAAACCACTCCACTGTTACTTGGGGTGTGCATGTAGGGACAACTGCTCTGCTGAAAGGTGAAACTCCTGGACCCCAGTTCCAGGTCCCTTACAGACTGAAGTAAGCTTTCCTTTAGAGTTGCCCTGTATTTAGCTCTATCCATCTTGCCCTCAATCCTGAACAGTTTCTCAGTCCCAGCAGAGGGAAAGCATCTGGGCAACATGATGCTGCTATGACCATGCTTCACTGTGGGGATGGGGTTCTTGGAACAATGAACACTGTTAGCATTGTGCCACAGACAGTGTTTTATAGCAAGCAATGATGAAACAAAGTGCAATGTTTGTTTTATCATTCAGAGCACCTTTTTTCCAAATGTTTCTTGTGTCTCCCTGCAAACTCCAAATAAGCTTTAATATGGTTTTGTTTCAGCAAGGGCTTTCTTCTTGCCACTCTACATAAAGCCCAGCTTTGTAGAGTGCCAGAGCACTAAGTGATCCCATGAACAGTTCCTCTTATCTTGGCTATAGATCTCTCCAGCTCCTTCAGAGTTGCTACTGGCTTCTTGGTTGCTTCTCTGACTAATGTCCTTCTCTTACTAATATCAAGTAAATGAGCTGTGCTGGGTGGTAAGTAGAATCACAGTAGAATGATTCTTTCCATTTTGTAAGAATACATTTAATGGAGTTCTTGTGGGGGGGGGGGGGAGTGCAGTTTATGCTTATTGTAACCAAGGCCTAATTGATGCATTTGCACAACTTTATCCCCAAGCTTTGATAGTTTTTTTGGTCTTCATAATGCAGTTTAGATATGCCCTTCAGCAAACCCTTGGGACTTCCAGGAATGGATATATTTAATCCAAGATCTCGTGATACTGGAATTACACACAGGTGAATGTCATTACTTAGAGTAGGTGACTTCTGAAGGGAGGGAATTGCACCAGGGCTTATTTAAGCATGTGACAAAAAGTGCAGTGAATATTTATGCAAACAACAAGTGCCAGTTTGGTTTTGCTTACTTAGCTTTTGTGCCACAATACAAGTATTTCACAACTTTTGAGTGATGAATATCTTGTGTCCAATCCAGTGGTAAAAAGACTGATTAAACATATTTCAATTCTAGGTTGTAACACAACAAAATGTGGAAATGTTAGAGATTGGTGAATCATTCTGCAAGGTATTGCAAATACTCTACAAATTGAGAAGAGCTGCCTGATACAATGAAAGGGCAGATTATACACTTACCTGCTGCCTCTCTGAGAAAATTCCGGCAGGTACTCACCTGCACATTCCTCACTCAGTGCTCCTCATCCTGCACCCTTGCAATTGCAAATGTTCACAGTTGTGCAAGTACAGGTTAAAAAAATGAAAATATCCCTAATATTTTCAAAAGTTAGAACAAAAATTTAAAAACTGTTAGCCACAAACTTTTCCCCAGGTTAAGACAAAATGCAAACATTTTGTTTTCCAATCTAAACAACATACTTCTCAACTAAATAAATTTAACACAAGCTTCCAGTATCTATCATTTGCAGAACGGGGATCCAAAGAGTTTCATTCTCAAAAAGTTTAGACCACAGTAAAGCATCACATGGCTTATCTAACCAAATGAGTCCTGATTAAAAAACACTCATGTTTCTTTTTTTTATTACTGCTATTCACCCAGTAATACTTTGCCAATTTATATTAACAAATGCAATTCCAAAAGGCAGGACTGTAAAGAAATAGTTTAACACATGTTATAAAAACTCAACAACTCAAAATACAGATCTAGAAGTAATGTATCACTTGTCCTAAAGCTTGCCTACTCACCAGAAGAACCTGTTGTCAGTGCTTTGTTCCTGCATGCTACGATGGGCATTTAGACTAAGATCTAAACTCATCCCAGCAGAAGACCATGCAAAATAAAAGTTTCCTGAATTCAAAACTTTGCGCACTTCAGAGATTCGTTCTTCATCTGACGGATCAATTTTCAATGATATTAAATCAGTGGAAGTAACACGAAAAACTTCAGATTCTTGAATCTTTCCTACAGACATACATCCTGTGACCAGTACTAGATAATGTAGCAATGTGTCACCTGTAAGAAATTTAAGTCACCACAGTTGAAATTTTTTGCCTAGAACACTTTATTCTAATATACACTAATATAAATTACACTTTATTCAAGTGCTATTTTAATTCTTAGTATTTACAGAGCGAATTGTATAATTCAATTCTTATAATAAATAAAACAAAAAGTATAAAAGAAAATAAAATACTTGGACATAAAGTATAATTCTAAAAGGCTCTTTTCAGTGTATTTTTCCAAAGCCAACCTTCCTTGCACATCCAGCATTAAATAAATCAGAGATGTAGGGTCTAGCACATGAGCTACAGGAAGCCCTTCAAGCCCTTTTCAGACCTGCCCTCCCCCCCAAACCACAGCATCCTTTGCTTCTGCCAGAACAAGAGGAAAACGGAAGTTTAATTCAGAACCACAGAACCCATTCTTTCATGGGTTTAGGTCTTATTGGTATTTTTTGGAATGAAGGGTTAAAACTATGAATGAGTGGTAGGGAAGTGCATGTCTAAGTGAGTGGAGTGAGTGAAGTGATTGGAGGCAGTCTATATGTGAAGATGATATAGGGGGACTGAAGCCCCTGAGAAAGTCCCCCATAAGAATGCAGCACAACACTGTCTTTAACTGAATATTTTAAAATATTAGTTTACAAGAAAAGCATAATAGGTGTGAGTGAGCTGTATATGAACGTACAGCTCTGTACTTCCCACCAGCAGTTGCCTGAGATGAGCCTTGGAGATGAAAAAGCTGTGCACCCTAAAATAAATGCTGAGTTGCCACCCTGCCTACTCTTAGGGTGATCATATTTATTTTATTTTGGGTTTTATAATTACTAATAGTACATAAAGAGATTACTAAGAACTTTAGAAAAAGTGTGTATAAGGAACTTCAACATACACATATAAAATGCTCAGAAACAACTGAACTTTATGACTACCTAAAAAAGCATACTGGCATGCTTCATGGGACTGACAGGAATAGTACAGAAGAGAACATTTATCTTGCTGGTGGCAGGAGCATGCGCTTCAAGCAAAACAAGTATTTAATGTATGGGCAAAGGCAAAGTGTATGTCATCAGGTCTTTGAGTCCTTTCCCACCAACAGTGGTATTCCAACTGTAGCCTCCTCCTGACTTCAAAATGCTGTGCCATATCTAACAGCTTGAGTCAGAAAGTTTCACAAGTGGCTTTCCAGGTTCAACAGAAGACCAGGTGCGAAATTAGTCAGAAAAATCAAATTAGCATCACCTAGAAACAAAGGCAAAATACCTACTAAGCAATCATTAATTTTCCTGGACTTTGACAGATGAATGCCAGCAATGGTACCAACAGAAGGTCTAGCATAAACAATGAGAAAAATATTTGTAGACCTGTCATTTTTCTCAAATTGAGATTATTTACTCACCAAGATTTAATCTTAATACACCTAGAAGTCCATATGCATCCATTACTTTGGAGTACATGTGCTTTATTGCTTCTTTCTCAGCAGATGCTATTTAAATAAAAGTTAAGATTAAGAATGTCAATTATTTAACTTATATTAATTCTAAAACTCTTCAATTTCCTAGTTCTCAATATTTAAACAGCAAAACAAGCAGTTTCAAGTTGGTACTTTTGCTGTAGATTACAAAGTTCTGAATTGAAACAATGATCAATTATAAGACTATAGGCAGATTTTAATACTTAGAGCACAGCAAATATTGAAGTGTGAATCCAGTGAGATACTTGAGGCATAATTCAAGGGTTTGAGCATTTCCAGTAGGATTTTGAACAGCAGATGTCCATACCATACTATTAGGCTGCTTGTTGAAGTGATTTGCCTAAATCTTCTTTCAGTGTGTAGAACTAGCTGCATGGTTTTAAATCTTAGCCCAATCATTTAAAGCATAGATACAGAATTTCCAGTTAACCGACAATTCATAGATACCTGAAGAAAGCAAAGCTATGCCTCCAAACCTCACTCTGTTGGAAGAATCCCTAGAATTATCTCTGATTACAGAAGGAATGCAGGGAGTGGAGGGGAGACTTGTCCAATCAAATGTTTCTGCATTGTTCACTACTGCCATGGCAATGTACAAAGTCCCAAGGACTAACCCACACTGTGCCATGTCCCACATGGGAATGCTTGACATAGGTAAAGTTAGGCTAGAGTCTCCTCTAGTTGAGTGACAAACTTTCTCCAGCTGGAAAGTCTTGCAGAGTAAAGCCAGTCCCCAGCTAAAGCACCAGCTAGAGTTCTGACTAGGAATCAGATGAAATAAAGGGTAAGTGGTCATGCCAGGAAGGGTCATGGAAGATGTAATTCGACCACCTTCCACAAAACTGTTTCCTACTCCTGGTTTAAGGAATGTGTACAGCCAAGGAATAGTAATAAACATTTTTGTGAATATAATATGTGAAATAATTAGACTACTGGCAGTAAACTGTATCAGAACAATACACAAACTATAGAGTACTCTGTTATTGGTACACTTAAATCTTACTGATTCAGACTATACAAGCATAAAATATTGGCTATGACCTTGTTCACATCAGCTAAAATACTATGTGCCATAAACTGGAAGAATACACATCAATAGGATATGAATGTACATTAAATGTCTGCATGTAGTATGAATGTAAAAAAATGAGAAAAGGTAGTTACAGAACAATAATCAGTGTTTTTCTTTTTGGTACATAACATCAGGATTCCTATTAGGTCTTGAGAAATGAAAGAATCAATATCAAAAAATAATGATATGTAACAGCAAAAATCCTTTCCTTGTGAGTAGCTGCTTAAGCAGTAGTATGGAACACTGGTGATCTAACAAAATCTATCCCTTTAATTGGCTCACAGAGTCTTGATCTCATTCATATAAATGTTTTTACTGTGTTATGCTATACAATTTATTTATATCACTAAAGAATCAAGCAATGTGTTCTTCCAAAGCTAAGCTTGTTTAAAGATCTAGAACCAACTGCAGATTAGAAATCTTAAATCTTTAGTACAAAACAACAAGGAAAGCACTACCATTCAGTAGCCCTTCTCAAGACCACATCCATGGAGGTTCCTCTTCAGCCCACTTGTCACCACCACCAACAGCCATTCCAGCATGCTACACTGAGTGAGATTAGTAGTCTTTCA